AAAGCGTCAAGCTCAAAAGGTGGTCGGCCAGCCCATATTGGTGGTCTCCTAGGTGAATGCAACTTAGTGGTGGTATGGGAGACCAGAAAATGTGGCTCAAAAGTAAGGGAGACCACCTACCTGTCAAGAAAAACCGGTCGACCGAGAAAGGTGATCTCCAAGAAGAAAAGGTGGTCTCTCACCCTACTACCACCTTCCTAACAATGAAACTAGGGTCCATGACAAAAATGAACCCACACCGATGCGAAACGAAGGTTCGGGGACCAAAACGCGCAGCCGAGGGCCCTAAAAACTGACTATTAAGCATCGAAAGTGGCGTGCGACCATGAAGGTGGTCTCCCGGCCACAGTGTCCCTCTAAGGAGAGGAAACAAGGTGTGTGCCAAAAACCAAAGCAAACGGAGGTAGTTAAGCAGTCCCGAACCGAGACACGCGGCTGACGGCTCCGAAAATCAAAAACTGGTCTCCAAACAGGAAAAATGGCCTACAACCAAGAAACGTAGCCTACGGCCACTGAGAGATGGTCTACGAGACCTCTCCCTCCTTCTAGGAAGAGAAAACAGAGAAAATAGGACTTGGTTCGCAAACCGAGGCAAGGCATGAAAAGGTTCCGAAGCTCGGAGGCAAGGCTCTCAGCCGAGACTTTGCAACCTCAGAACGAGCACAATATGCAACATCACTGAGCGCTCAGTTGGTGACGTTTGAGTCTTAAGGTCGGTCAAAAATGGAGTGCCTACACCTAGGTTCTATTACCTCGGCAAACTGAGGTGATAGAACCTATATTATCTCTATCATCTAGCACGTTGGTTAAGCTTGCTTCATCATTTATTGCCGAAGTTAGAACCCGTCGGTTCAATATGACCCAGATCTATAGTCTGCTTCCATCAAGGCTTTGGAACCAACAACCAAATTCGTTCAAGTTTCTTAGTCGAAACTGTCCTTCTAGCCGAGGTATTTGTTTCATTAAATCAAGAACTTCAGGAGTTTTCTTCATGCGTATGAGCTAGCACGTACAATTTTTCAACCGTTTTTGCCACGCATCTTTCCTCTACTAAGTCGTGTCTGATACGCGTCATTAAGTCGCCTTGCATCTGCGTATTTGATCAAAATCTCTTCACTCTTTCCGTCTTTTTACTTCTGCATCTTCGTTTTTGTTTAAACTTTCTCTTTCAAATCCTCTATTGCTACTTTTACGACGCTGTCTGCAACCAGTTTCACTCTCCCCTCTAGCGAGGCTTCTGCCGCACTTCCTTGCTTACGGCCACCATCTGATCCCGGCGAACTTTACTTCGGCATCATTGCTTTACTCGTTCATGTCTTTTGATCATTTAACATGTATCTTGAATTTCACTATATACTGAACATGTACTGTCTTTGTACCTTGTACTTTTTTGTTACTCAAACAATTTATTCTTCAATGTCAGGCCGAAGTGCCTTCTTTCTTTATCTGAATGCATTTTTTTAACTTCTTCTTTCAAGTGTTTTGAATGTTTGACCTCTTCTTAATACCTTGTATGATTCCATACTTAGAACACAATTTGCATGTCTTTAACATACACCTTAACTGTGCAATCTCCCCAGGTTAACATACCTCGGACAAAACTTCCGACCTTGCTTATCTCGGTCTCGGTTTAACACTTGAAAAATTTGTAACAAATATTTTCACAAGTGTTGCTCTTACTTCTTAAGACTTCTGTCTTCCACTATCTTCCAAGTCTTGGTAACATAGTCACCTCGGCATGTGTATAGATACTTCTTTCACTCATAACCTTGGATTTAACTTCAACTTGTAAATTTTCTCAAAATTTCATCAAGTGTTAAATCAATCTTCTTTCTCGGTTTAACTTCAACTTGTAAATTCTCTCAGAATTTCAACAAGTGTTAAATCAATCTTCTTTCTCGGTTTAACTTTAACTTGTAAATTCTCTTAGAATTTCAACAAGTGTTAAACATGATCTTGGCTTAACTTCAACTTATAAACTCTCTCAGAATTTCAACAAGTGTTAAACATAATCTCGGTTTAACTTCAACTTGTAAACTTTTCTCAAGTTTCAACAAGTGTAAAACATCATCTCGGTTTAACTTCAACTTGTAAACTTTTCACAAGTTTCAACAAGTGTTAAACATCATCTCGGTTTAACTTCAACTCGTAAACTTTTCTCAAGTTTCAACAAGTGTTAAACATAATCTCGGTTTAACTTCAACTTGTAAACTTTTCTCATGTTTTAACAAGTGTTAAACATCATCTCGGTTTAACTTCAACTTATAAACTTTTCTCAAGTTTCAACAAGTGTTAAATATAATCTCGGTTTAACTTCAACTTGTAAACTTTTCTCAAGTTTCATCAAGTGTTAAACATCATCTCGGTTTAACTTCAACTTGTAAACTTTTTACAAGTTTCAACAAGTGTTATACATCATCTCGGTTTAACTTCAACTTGTAAACTTTTCACAAATTTCATCAAGTGTTAAACATCATCTCGGTTTAACTTCAACTTGTAAACTTTTCTCAAGTTTCAACAAGTGTTAAACATCATCTCGGTTTAACTTCAACTTGTAAACTTTGTTCAAGTTTCAACAAGTGTTAAACATAATCTCGGCTTGAAAATTCCAACTCCCAAGCATCATTCTCCAGCCCTCTACATGGCTTCCACCTACTCCTTTGTGGAAAAAAGTCTTTAACTCAGGCTGTGCTTTTCTCTTCTTAGATTTAATCATCTGGGCCGATATCTTGCCTTCTGGAATCTGGGATTTGCTCACTTTAGACTGAGCTCTTCTTTTCTCAGACCTAATCATCTAGGCCGAGATCTTGCCTTCTGGATTCTGGGATCTGCTCACTTTTAGACTGAGCTCTTATTTTCTCGGACCTAATCATCTAGGCCGAGATCTTGCCTTCTGGAATCTGGAATTTGCTTACTTCTAGACTGAGCTCTTCTTTTCTCAGACCTAATCATCTAGGCTGAGATCGTGTCTTCTGGGATTCTTCGTGGCCGACCTCCCGCGAAGGCTGGTGAGAATGTCCCTTGGTCTCGCCATGCTGAGGGACTGCAGGAATCGTTTTTTGCCCCCTTTTCTGGGCGTCTTTCTTGGCCACTAGAATCGGCATATCTTGTAGCGAGAACAGTGGCTGCACGACGTTGTTCTACATTAGGAAATTGATGACCGTTTGCAGGTCCGCCAATTTTTCTGCCATTCACTTTATCTCGTCGTCCCTCCGCAGATATCTATCCTTCCATACCTGGAGGTCGTCCTCGTTGTAATACCCGAGCGACCTGCAACAGAAAGAAGAGATCCCCGCGGTGGCTCATCCACCCGGGGGCACTCCGACGATCAAGTCAGTTATCTCTCAAAGATATCAGAAGTGCTCAACTCACTAGTCAGAATACAAATAGCATACCTTAGACCCATGGGGGTGCCTCTCTTTTATAGCAAACTCAATCCTAATCCCAATAGAAGCCTAGCTCTAATGGACTTAAGATTACTGCTAATCTTGGACTCCCAGTAGGATTAGGATAAATTCTTTAAGAGTCTCATCTTTACCCAAACTGAAGTCTTCTCCCATTCTAGGATTCTTGTCCCTTATCCGTTTGTCTCAGATTCTGGTATTACCGCAGAATACCTCGGCAGTGCCCCAAATATCTCGGCAAATATGATCTGCTCATGTAGCACCTCGGCTAACAACCTTGGCCACGTGGACTACCCAAAAAATATGTCCCCACATATATATTTTAAAAAATTACTTTCAATCATGCTCTCAAAATAAGCTTAAAAATGTAAAGTACATAGAATTTTGATTATAAAATTAGAGATAATTAATTCATATGCAGTAAGATTCATTAAATATATAAATATTATTGACTGTGGAACGATTGTAGCTGATTTAATAATTGAATTATCAATGAGTCTGCAATTCTAGAAAAATCATAAATGTGTTTTCATGAAAGGTTAAGATTTATTCAAACTATTTTTTAAATATATACCATCGATCTAATATTTTGGAGACTTTCTAACACAAACTTTCTGCTTACTTAGCATTTCTCTCATTTTGCTTACTTATTTAAGCTCTCGGGGCTGTATTTGGTTTCAACTTAAAAAAAGAAAAAGAAAAAAAGAAGAAGCTATTTTTAACCATTTAAGAAAAAAAAAATGTTTATTTCATAGAAAAAAAGAGATTAAACAATAATAAATGAATAAAAAAAAAACACTAAGGAACCACTTCATTTACCAAACTCATCAATTATTTTAACAAATTTATATTTTTAAATTTAAAATAATAACTAAAAATGCACTTGTCTACAAAAAAAAAAAAAAAAAAAAAAAAAAAAGTGTTTTTAACTACTAAGCGTCATTAATTTTTACATCCTAAAAATACCCTTCGTATTAACCTGTTTAGTGCAATTTTATTGAGTTACTTATAATTATTTATTTGATTTTATTTTAAGGATATGTGTAGCGTGTAGTATAAATACATTATAAAAATTAATTATCTTAAAGTTAAGAAGACGTGCATTTAGGTTCAATATTATCAATTTTTAATTAAAATAAAAAAAAAATTAAAAATGTATCCAAACAGGTCACAACACGAAGGGCGAAAAGAATAAGATATATTGGAAGAAGACAACTGGAGAGATTCCACACACACACATTTTCTTTGAATTAACTCTTATTTTAATTGTCATGATCATATATTTTTCAAAGCACAATTATCATTAGATTTTTATCATTCAAATGACATGTTTGGAAATAGATTATTTTAATAATTTTTTAACTTTTTATATTAAAATATGAAAAAAAAATAAAGAGAATGATATGATAATTTATAATGATTTTTTTAACTTTTTAACTAAAATATATAATTAACAAACCAGGCCAAAGTCTCAATTTTTTGCTTCACCCAGCTAATTTACCAGTGTTAAAATAAGGAGAAAAAGAAAAAAAAAGTCAACCCTTAATCTTACCCCTGATAAACTTGTCAATTCAACTGAAAATTTGAACTTCATTCCATCCAATAGAGACTGTTGACTTCTATAGCTTAGTTCCAATAGAGATTGTTGACTTGTATAGCTTAGTTCCTTATGTCTATGTATATTTCTTGTTGCATATTTCCAATTGAATACATTAAGAATCAATTATACAGAAACCCAACTTCATCTCCTGCTTCTCAAAACATGGCTGGTGAGGAAACCCCCAAATCCATTTATGACTTCACTGTCAAGGTATTAATCAGTTTCTTTCTGGAATTCTTCAATTAATCTCTGGCTTTTGATCTTCATGAGTTCATCCTTAGCTATTTGATTTGGGTTTTCACTTTTTTCTCTATTTACTTCTCATTTTCTTTTCTAATTGTTTTTTTTTTTCCCACTGCACCTGTGTTGCATATTTTTAATTTTAATATTTTTGAAGAACTTTTATATTTATTTGGTGTTAGATGTTGCCCATGACTCATGAGTATAGTAATAAATTTCTGCCTCTGTTTATTTACAGTGCTTTGTTTGGATTATGATAATAAAGAGACAAGGAGAAATAGGGCAGTTTGGATCACAATTAATTTGGATTGAACTAGTTTATCTCTTTGTTTAATTTCTTCTTCTGCTTTTGTCATCCTCTTTTAGTTCCATAGTTGTTAATGTTTGATTTCACTGGCCTGTTGGCCGCCTTCTTTGGTTTGAAGCTTTCCATTGTTTTTGTCAAAATATCATCATTGTATGTGGTTAGTAGTTGCTGATTGAATAGAACTGAAAGTGCAGGACATACGCGGAAATGATGTACCTCTGAGCAATTACAATGGGAAGGTTGTTCTGATTGTGAATGTTGCTTCAAAATGGCAAGTGACTTTATATATCCTAGTTAGTCAAATCTATTATATTTACATGGTTAATTTGTCTCTTCTCTATTTTCTTTTGATAATCATTCATACTTAAAAATTTGTATTTTTGTTAGTTGCTTTGTCTGCTTCGTGAGAGCTGATGGTGCACAATTGATCTTTGGGCCATATTCGTCTTCTTTTATTTCCCTAGGAATATTCAGAGCTCTTTGGATTTATTCATAATGCTACTTCTTTCCTGAAACCTACTTAGTTGCTTGGCATATGGCTTCTTGTTTATTGTTTGATTGAGTTTACAAAGATAATATAGACTACAAAATACTTTTAATCATATTCAAGTTGTTCAATTCAAACTAACAGAAACTTTTCCCACCTTTTTTGGCTCCCTTTTGCAGTGGTTTAACACAATCAAACTACAAAGAATTGAACGTTCTATATGAAAAATACAAAGACCAAGGTCTGTTAGTTATTCGACTCCAGTTAGTTGTGTGTTTCCTTTCTATTATTTCAAAGAGTTTGAGGGGTCTTAATCTTAACTTTATTGCTGATATATATTATTATGACAGGTTTTGAGATTTTAGCATTTCCTAGCAACCAGTTTTGGCAAGAACCAGGAACTAATGAGAAAATTCAGGAAACCGCATGCACGATGTTCAAAGCTGAGTTCCCTGTATTTCAAAAGGTAATAAATCCTTAAGTGCGAATACAAACTACGTTGCAGAAAAATAAGCACTATTAAATTGTTTTTAGGAGAAACATAGCTTGTTCCTTAGTCGGTACTGTTCAACTTTATGACTTAAAAACCATTAGGGTATTATCACACGTGCTCATAGAGCAGAAAAATGTCTTTATTGTCTTGTCCAACATGTCGTTAAACTGCCTCAAACTCTTGTACCAATACATCCCCACAGACATGCTATGAATTGCATCTTTTGATGTAAATAAATTGGAACCTGTGCAAGTTCTTTTGAAAGAGGATGAGGCTTGAAATGTATTTTTATTTGTTTTTTTATTTTTAAATAAATAAAATTTAGGTTTTTGCTCGTTTTGTGTTTGCAACATTGTGGCATAATGGCATTGTTTCTTTATTCTGATCTTTTGGGAGATAGTTGAATGCGGCAAGTATAGCAGCTAAGGAAGTAGAAAGTTACACCAGTAAAGAAAACAAGTTAAACAGATTCATTCATTTTAGACAACGAAATAATCTCTGGTAAAGAAACTGTTAATCTGGTTGTGCTGAGCATGTGAGTTCTCAATTACCATATTTCTTAATCTACTTTTGACTTGGTAGCAAGAAGCAATTTGGCTTGCTGGTGAATAAACTCAGCCTCAAGCAACATGATTTCTGTGTTTGCTAAAGATATAAAAGAATAATGAATGGGTTCATCACTAGGAAAGATCACAACAAATGTTTGCTCTGCCTTGCTGTGTGTTTGGTAGTTATGGGTAGTAAAGATATAGGGGGATTGGTTCTTAACGGATTTTGCTAGAGAGATTTAAAGGAGCCATGTTTAGTGAGTACCACGCTTCCCAAGTGGAGTATATTGAGGATAAAGGAATATGAAGTAGTCGGTCCTGGACCTTCCGAGAATCATGAGAGAGAGTAAGATGGCACAAGACCATCAGAGGTGGAGAGGAAGAGATTTGAGGCAGCCTTAGAGGGGAGAGAGAGAGGGAGTGGCAGTGAGGGAGGAGAGTCTTTGCAAGGGAGAGTGACTGGTGGTAGTGAGTCGAGCAGATGGTTGTAGAGTGATGGCTGCTCACGGAGTGGGGTAATCCATGGTACTTAGGTGAGGGAATGCTCACAAGCCAATGTGAATTACTTGGGTGACCACCTGCTCAGGCGAGCATTATGCCTTGGGAACTTGAAATTCACCATTCTAAGATTTTGTTTCCCTTCTTTTTTTTCACAATCTGTGAATTAAACAAAGAACTTTGGTCATAACAAATCTGTCGGATCTTATAGATCGATGTGAATGGAAAGAATGCAGCACCAGTCTACAAGTTCCTAAAATCAGAGAAAGGGGGTATATTAGGAGACGGCATCAAATGGAACTACACAAAGTTTTTGGTGAACAAGGAAGGGAAAGTTGTGGAGAGATATGCTCCAACATTACCTCCTCTTAAAATTGAGGTTTGATCAATCGTTTATATATTCGTTTACTGACAATGTTTGATGCTTGCCTGGGAAGTTGCATTAGTTAATTGCAGCTGATTGTTCTTGTCTAATTTTTCTGATGCAGAAAGACATACAGAATCTGTTGGGATCTTCATGAGCATCAAGGTTTGATGCTGCACTCCACCTTCACAGAATATTTATTTATTTATTGAAAACAGTTTATCTGAAAATGGATGGCAATCACATTTTGAAATATCTAGAATGGAAAAAATTTCCACACAATTCATTTTGAAATAGCACTTAAAGTTGATTGAATCTTTTTTTCCTTGTTTTCTTTTTTCACCCCTTGGCCTTGCAGGTTATGAATTATGGGTCCAGAGATTCATAAATTACAGAGGTTTGAAGTTTGTTGTTTTACTTTCCTGTTTACAATAAGGGCATGTTCCTCTGACAGATTAGATTGGGTGTGATTATGAGTCCGGTAGAATTGAATAATGTGAATAGTAGTGTGGTGGTATTAGTCTTTGTTTGTAAGGTATGTTTTTGGGCTATAAATATTTGTCTTTGTAATGTATGTTTTTGGGCTATAAATATTTGTCTTTGTAACTTATATTTTTGGGCTATAATTGCAAAAATAATTGTTACATATAATTTTTTTTTTTTGAGAACAATTGTTACATATAATAATGATAATGAAACTCATCATTTTATATTAACATTTGAGAAAATACTCAACCTAAAGAGATTTTAGTGGTTAATGAACCACCAGCTGTTATTAGGGAGTTCCTAGTTGCAGACATGATTGGCATGTCTTGTGAAAGGGCCTAGGCCTGTGTTTTCTTTTTTTATTTCCGTTGTACCTACAAAAAAAAAAACAAGTTACCTTCCAACCCCCAGGACAATTGGAGGTTATTTTTGAGGGGCAGAGGGTAATTTCCCCACCTTATTTGATTTCTGCAATAAAGGCGTATAAGTTGTTACAAAAGGGTTGTCGGGGGTATTTATGTAGTATTTTGGGTGAACAACCAGTGGATGGGGGCACTGATGCAATTCCAATCGTTCGGGATTTTCCGAATGTTTTTCCAGAGGAGTTACCGGGAGAGTTAATTGATCGTGAAATTGAGTTTACAATTGATATAGTGCCGGGAACTCAGCCCATTTCCAAGACCCCTTATAAAATGTCACCCGTTGAAATGAAAGAGTTGAAGGTCCAATTGCAAGACCCCATCGACAAAGGATTCATTCGCTCGAGCACTTCTCCTTAGGGTGCACCAGTCTATTTTGTACAGAATAAAGATGGGACCCTTCGGTTGTATGTGGATTATAGAGAGCTCAACAAAGTAATCATAAAGAATAAGTATTCTTTGCCTAGGATTGATGACTTGTTTGATTAGTTATAAGGTGCACAAGTCTTCTCTAAAATAGATTTGCGATCTGATATCACCAACTAAAGGTTAAATCTGAGGATATAAAAAATGACAAATTGCAAAATGACAATATATATGTTTAGTCCCTCAAATTCAATATATATGTTTTAGTCCCTCAAATTCAACCTTCTAGAAGTTTGTCGACAAAATTTTTGGTCAACTTTACAAAGATCAAACTTATCACACATTTAAAATCTGTTTACTTTTCTTTTCTCTCACATCACACTGTCTCTTTCTGTCTCTCGAAGCTTTATCGATCCGTTTATATTAATAAATCTAGAAATTCAAAATTAATTATTGACGAAATAATGAGTTAAATATTTTATATTTTTAATTGACGGATCCCACCCGTTTTTAGGCCATAGCAGTTGGCAATGGCTCCAGTTCCCAAACGTTCCAAGAGTATGTGTTATTTATTTGAGCAAACAAAAAAAGAGTCAGCCAAAATTCACATGGACAAAAAATTAACAAAAATAAATCAAACTTCTTGAGTTATTTTAAATTTTTTTAAAAATTCTATTAGATCAAAAAAGCAAAAAATACACCTCCTAGAATCTTCTAAAAAACAAATAATTAAAAAAAAAAAAAGCTGTTTTTTTTATTTTAAATATATATGGTGGAATGAAAGCATGGATGCTTGAAATTTTCTTTGAGAGGAACAATCTTCTCTCATTTTTTTTTTTCCCCCCTTCAAAAATTATTGAGACATCTGTCAAAAATCCATCTATAAAGATTCTAGAAAAAATGGAAATAGATCATACATTTCATTAAAAAGTGCATAATTTGTGGAAAACTCAAGAATGATTAAATAAATTAGAGATATTAAGGATTAAATCTATAAGATCAAAGTCCTGCTATGCTATCGTGGAGATTGGGAACATGATTCAGGTACATAGGGAAATAATGCATTGTTTTTGTTTTTCATTGATTAAAGTATCTGATAAAACTCCAACGGAAACTCAAGATGAAGAAGAAAGAATTTTATTCATATCATTCATAAATTTATTCTCCATGTAGTCTATCGATACAATTAATCATGCATTATACGAGCCTCAAATGAATCATTACTAATTTTATTTTGATAATCAGAGCCTTGGGTGAATTATGTCACTCTCATCGGTTTCTTTTGGTTAATCTCAGACCTAAAACGATCACCCTCCTCCTCTTCCTCTTTCTCCATCACTGACAGACAAGACAGGCATGTCCATCTCCAGGTAAAGAACAGAAGGAACTCTTGTTGTTCCTCCAAGCAAGCAGATGAGGCAACGGAGCACAAGCCACAAAGAAAGCTAGCTCTCCATGAAGGTCCAGGCTGGTATGAAATCCACGAGCAGAAGAAAATGCTGATGCAATTCTTCTTCCCAACCGATGATTTTCTTCTAGCTAGCTGCATAATCTAACAGTGCATGCCACAGCTTGTGCCCAATATTTGAGCCTTGCTTTGACTTCTTCGGGATGGTCACCTGAGGAAATACAAATCAGGGCAACAGAAAGTTAGACAACAGACGAGAAATTTCTCAATCAATGGCCGTAACCAACAAACATTTATCTTCCAATTTGCTAAGACCAGAAAAGAAAAAGAAAAAAGTTCTTCATAAAACCCAACAAGGCCATCTCAGAGAAAAGAAGATTAGGGTTTGTCATGTTTGGTGCTGAGTAATAAATTAAAGGAAAATCTAACAAGTGGGTCTAGGATGAATAATATAAAGTTCCATAGATTTCAAATAGAGGGAATTGAGGCTTTACTTCAAAAAAATATAAGACGGTTGGGTATTATTAGATTAAATGAGAATTTAAAGAGGAAGATAGAATAGAGTAAAAAGAAACATAGTTTATTATTATCCAAATATTTTGAATAACTATATCAGTATGTTTGTTTTGAGGTTTCTGAATTAAGTTTTTTAAAAATTGAGTTTTTTTTATTTTCATATTTTTTTTGTTTTTAGTGAATATTTTTAAAATTTTAAATATATTTTTTTTACTTTTTTAAATGTACCGTATCTAAAAAGTAAAAAAAATGTGAAAAATATTTTAAAAAATTAAGAAATATATAAAAATACAAAAAATGTACTGAATTCTTGTATTTTTTTTTGTATTTATGGTATTTAGTGAATTTTTAAAAAAAAAAATTATAATTTTTTTACTTTTTAGGTGTATTTATGTTAGGTGTGTCTAAAAAGTAAAATATTTGCATAAAATATTTAAAAAATTCAATAAAAACAAAAAAATACGAAAAATAAGAAAAATGTTTTTAAAAAAATGGAACCAAACATTGTGATTACGTTTTTATTTCAAATCCATCACAATAAGACTATCACATTCAAAAATTTAAAGTCTATATCTAAATTTATCTTGAAATCCATATTTAAACTATACTCAAATCCATACACTTAAAAATTACAGCTTAAACTCAAGGTAATGAATGTTACATCATATTCAGGGGGAGACCATATGTTCAAGAAATTGGAAAAAATATCAATCATCACTCAAGCTATATTACCGTGCAAATTGCTGAAACTAAGATGATACAAAACAAGGGAGTTGCAAACATTAAAATTAAAACATTAAAGACACAAAATTTGATCCCAATTCCACACCACTTTGTTCAAACCAGATCTCTACTAGGAACAATTATATAAATATATACACACAAAAACCAAAGAATCCGGTTCTACATTCTCTTCTACAATGACAAAAATCAAAACAAAAATTAACAATTCATCATTCCATCTAAGCAACACATCACATTTCAAACCCTAAAGAACCCATTTCACAATTTCATCAAAACCAAAACTTGCATCACTATCCTCACTTGATCAACAGATCAACACAAGCATATATACTAAAATGGAATCAAATTCAAGATCAGGATTTTCTAATTATCAACACAGAACTAAAATTCAAAGAGATTTAACCAAAATCACTCACCAGGACTAGAGATCTTCCAATTGGCAATGGGACCGGAGGCCGGCGAACACGTCTCGGCGGCAGCGGCAGCGGCAGCGGAGGACGGAGAGTCCGGCGACTTCTGCTGGTCATCGAGAAACCTCTGGCTCATAGAATAGCAAAGCTCGAGAGCAGGCAAAGTGTTACAGAGTTCAGGGATTTCATCGTAGCTGCCCTAGATCCAAACAGCCCTTGAGCTCCTCCAAATCCTCATCAGTCAAGCTCTTCGTCCTCGTAAGATCATCCTCATCTGCTGCCTCTACATACCCTTCGAGAAACACTTGGTTCTTCTTCTTCTTCTTGGTCTTCTTCTGGGCCTTGTTCTTGTGCCCAGGGTCCTTCTCATCGTCACGCCTCGACAACAATCCAGTTCGTGGGTTGTTGTTGTCGTCGTCCTCCATTGTTAACTCTGCAAATTCAAGAATGTCATTCATAGATCTGGGTTCTGATGAATAGCTCCCCATTCTCTCTCTTTCTCCCTCTAGAGTGATTGTGGAAGAGGTGGAGCGTCCGCGTTTTAAAGGGAACCCAGGTAAGAGAAGAGAGCCTTGTGCTTTATGTTATGGGTTGTTTTTATGTATGTATGTATGTTGCTCGTGATGGTATGTATGTATATAATATATGTACAAAATTATAGCTTACAATCAACATGTCTAGGGATCCACGCAACACAACCGATCGGCTGACCAATTATGTTGGGAAGGAGATTAAAAATTAATAAGAAATTACAAACACCACTCGAAATTTGATAAAAATACAAATTTTTTTTTAGATTTGAAAAATTACATCTTGTTTCTTGAGATTTTTATTTTCATACATATTTTTTCCTAATTTTTCCTAATTTATTATGAAAATTTGACCCTCAGAGGGCGGGATGTAATTTCTCAAACCTCAGGGAGAAATTTATCGAGTTTTCTCTGGATCAATGTTGAGGGACCTTAGACATTATGAAAATATTGAGTGTCCTTTATGCTATAAAATCTTAATACCAGGGACCTTAAAAAAAATTTCCCAAAAAATAATCCAAAGAGATTTTTTTCAAAAGAGGCCATAATCATCTCGGTTCCCACCTTTTTTTCACTGTAATTTTTATGTACAAAGTTCCCACCGTTTGATATATGTATGATTAGGGTTTGCACGGTATTGACGGTAGAATTATAAAGGAAAATTTTACTATGCATATTTTTAAGTTATGATATATATTTTTTAGTTAGGATTAATTTTTTTTAAGTTATAA